GAATAACCAGCAAGCCATATGCAGAAGACTGAAACCAAGCTTCTTCCTTACACCATATAAGAAAATTAACTTCAGATTTAAGACTTAAATGAAAAACCCAAAGCTACAAAAACCTGGGAAGACAACTGAGGTAATACCATTCTGGGCATAGGGTTGGGCAAAGATTTCATGATGAATACACCAAAAGCAATTGCAACAAACGTAAAAACTGACAAATGGGATAAAATTAAAGAGCTCTGTGCAGCAAAGGAAACTATTGACAGACTGAGCAGACAACCTACAGAATGGGAGAAAATGTTTGCAAACGATGCATCTGACAAAGGTCTAATATCCAGCATCTATAAGGAACTTACACAAATTTATAAGAAAAAAACAACCCCATTAAAAAGTGGGCAAAGGGCATGAACAGGCACTTTTCAAAAGAAGACTTACATTTGGTTAACAGTCATATGAAACAAAGCTCAACATCACAGATCATTAGAGAAATGCAAATCAAAGCCACAGTGAGATAGATACCATTTTACACCAGTCGGAATGGGCTTTATTAAAAAGTCCACAGTGAGATAGATACCATTTCATGCCAGTCACAATGGATATTATTATCCAGCATCTGTGATGCTGGTAAGGTTTTGGAGAAACAGAAACGCCTCTACACTGTTTGTGGGAATGTAAATTAGTTCAAGTATTTTGGAAGACAGTGTGGCAATTCCTCAAAGACCTAAAACAGAAATACCATTTGACCCAGCAATTCCATTACTGGGTATATAAACAAAGGAATAGAAATCATTCTATTATAAAGACACGTGCATGCATATATTCATTGTAGCTGGATTCACAATAGCAAAGATATGGACTCAATCTAAATGCCCATCAATAGTAGACTGGATAAAGAAAATGTGGTACATACACAGCATGAAATACTATGCAGCCATAAAAAAGAATGAGATCATGGAGCTGGAGATCATCATCCTTAGCAAACCAATGAAGGAACAGAAAACCAAATACTGCATGTTCTCACTTATAAGTGGTAGCTACATGGACACATAGAGGGGAATAACACACACTGGAGCCATTCAGAGGGTGGAGGGTGGGAGGAGGGAGAGGATTATTTTATATTTGTTGTTTATTTATTTATTAAAATAAACTAATGGGTACTAGTCTTAATACCTGGGTGACAATCTATAGAACAACCCCCCATCATGCAAGTGTACCTATACAACAAACCTGTACATGTATCACTGAACTTAAACTAAAAATTAAATTAAAAATATTCATAACACATGCACACACACACACACACAAAGAAATAGCCTTGAGAAAGTACAATGGGGGCATTCTGCTACCCTTGCAAGGTAAAAGAAAATTTTATTTTATTTTTATTTTTTTTGTTTTTTACAAATGAGATGTAAACCTTTATTTCACAAGTTCGTCATAATTCATTTTCTAAAAAGACATGGACCATGGGACACAGCTGAAAACACTGGGAGGCCAGCTGCCAGTGTCTTCCAGGTGGGAGCATAGCGATGTCTATGCGCCGATGTCTTCTGGGGCTCTCAGTCAGCATAAAAGCCAGATGCACCGGTACTGTCCAATCCCAGTTTTACTTAGAACCACCTCTTTTTTGGGGGCCGTTAGTTCTCATTTCATGCCAGATATTCACTAGAGCCTCCCTGTTCTTCCAAATTAGTCCATGACCGTAAGTAACATACCATATTCCAAAGGGAGCTCCCCCAACATGTTCAGCATAATCAGAAAATGTCCATCCCGGATCATTCCTGCTGTATCCACAGCGTTAATGGCTTTTAGGGCATTTCTTGCTGTGAATGTGAGCATTGGTAGGAAAATAGTGGCAAGCCTCCCTTCCGGGATCTTAGTGCAGACAGCTGCGAGGACTGTCGTGATGGCGTCAGATGCACCAAGTGATGGTCCCTATCTTCCTGTGGCAACTTCACACATGTCACTGATGAAATTGGAAATAACACCTGCAGATAGGTACTAGGTACACTGCCATGAACTGCTCTTGACCCAGAGTGTACAATGCTGGAGGAGACGCTCCACAAAACTTACGTATTTGCTGCCATGTGAAACAAGGAGAAATGATTGAATGTTGACAGCAACATTGGAAAACAAGGACCTTTGAGGCTGAATTAGATGTGAAATATCTGATCACTGTCCAGTGCAGAGAAGGTACTCTCCATAAGCAGACTACAAGGACGTTTGCAGCTGTGATACCTGTCACAGCCTGCTGGCCATCACTTAGATTATTCCACCACTTCTTAATCTCCTTTCTGAAGTCTCCTTTCTTTTGTCATCTTATGCTATCCAACCAATCAGCTTTTATGCTATCAAAATAGCTCTGGACCATGGATTTCAGTGATTCACATTGCCAAATAGCAGCTGATCCCAAATGCACAGGCTGTAAACTCAACAGTAAAAAATAAAGGTTTCACGAGCATTCTCCTTACAGGATAAGGAGAAAGATAAAAGACTGTTGCTTCCACAGTAGGAATCAAAGCACTTCTCTTATATGCTTCACCTGTCTGATCTTCGAGGTTCAATCTTACCGGATGCTTTTCTGAATCCACATTTTTCCTGAATAAAGAAGTGAAACCTGCTGCGTCCGAGCAGCTGCAGCGGGACTAGGGCCATAGTGAGTTCCTCACAGCTGCCGCTACCTACCAGCTGAGCCCACGCTGAGCCGCAGCCCCAGCCTTTCTGAGTTCAGCCTCGCCACCCCAACTTCCCGCTAAAAGAAAATTTTAGGCCAGGCGCGGTGGCTCACATCTGCAATCCCAGAACTTTGGGAGGCCAAGGCGGGTGGATCACCTGAGGTTGGGAGTTCAACACCCAGCCTGACCAACATGGTGAAACCCCATCTCTACTAAAAATACAAAATTAGCCTGGCGTGGTGATATAGGCTTGTAATCCCAGCTACTTGGGAGGCTGGGGCAAGAGAATCACTTGAACCCGGAAGGCAGAGGTTGCAGTGAGCCGACATCGCACCACTGCACTCCAGCCTGGCCAGCAAGAGAAACTGTTTCAAAAAAAAAAAGGAAGAAAATTTTAGTACCTTTATTCTATGTCCCAGGGATTGTATTGTTTTACTCCAGCAAAAAGACTTCTGGAAACCCTACTATCAGCGGAGCCACCAGCTAAGTTGACAATAATTTATAATTCCCCAAAATTCATCCATCTTTTGTACATAGTTCATATTAATTTGCTGTGACTGACGTAACAAAATGTCAGTCCTCAGACTGGTGGCTTAAACAATATACATTTATTTTCTGAAAGTTCTGGTGGCTAGAAGTCCAAGATCGAGGTGTCCGCAGGTTTGGTTCCTCTGAGTCCTCTCTCCTTGGCTTGCAGTTGGCCACTTTCTTCCCATGCCCTCACACGGTCTTTCCTGTGTGTGTACATTGCTGGCATCCCTCTGTGTGTGTCCAAACTCCCCTTTTTTTAAATAAAGACACTATTCAGATTGTATTAGGGCTCATTTTAATGGCTTCATTTTAACTTAATCCCCTCTGTAAAGGCCCTGTCTCCAAAAACAGTCATTTTCTAAGGTACTAGGGGTTAGGGGTTCAAGATATAAATTTTAGGGGACACAAGTTAACCCATAATAGAGGTCAGACAGGTGAGTTACATGTAGTCGTGATGGAAATCAACTCTGGATCCTCCAAGTCTTTGATCCTGCACTAACTGCAACAGTTAGTCCAAGAGTGTGGTATTGCTGTGCTTTTCTGTTTTGGTGGATTTCTGCTTGACTTTTCCTACTTAACATTCCCAACTCCATGAGTTAAGAAACTAATATGGTAATGCTACTAGATGCATTCTATATTGCTATCAATTATGCTTTCAGAAATGGGGCATATAGAGTGTGTGTGGGAGACAGAGAGAGAAAGGAGAGAGGGAAGGAAGCAAGAGAGATTTTTAGGATTTAATTACATTTAAATTTAATTGTAATATAAAATTAAATTTTTTGAGTTTAAATGTTTTTGAATTAAAAAGTTTAATGTTTTCTGTTTTTTTAATTTTAAAATTTAATTATAATTTTGGAGCTAATGGATATCATTTGCAAATCTCTCTCAGCATGGGCAATCAATACTTACATTTGTGTTAAGTAACATTTTATAATTTATGTAACATATTTTTTATCTTAAAAATAATTATTGCCGGGGCCGGGCGCGGTGGCTCACGCCTGTAATCCCAGCACTTTGGGAGGCCGAGGCGGGTGGATCACGAGGTCAAAAGATCGAGACCATCCTGGTCAACATGGTGAAACCCCGTCTCTACTAAAAATACAAAACATTAGCTGGACATGGTGGCGTGTGCCTGTAATCCCAGCTACTCAGGAGGCTGAGGCAGGAGAATTACCTGAACCCAGGAGGCGGTGGTTGCGGTGAGCTGAGATCGCGCCATTGCACTCCAGCCTGGGCAACAAGAGCGAAACTCCGTCTCAAAAAAAAAAAAAATAAATAAATAAGTAATTATTGTCAAAGACTTTGTAAAACAGCTTTTTAAAACAATTTAGTTTTGGAGTTATCAAGAAGATTCACATATTTTTAAATCCAAAAATTATAGGAAAGAACCAGTTTCAGTAAACCCATTTTCAACAGGCAATAAAAATAAAAAGGAGGCCGGGCACGGTGGCTCACATCCGTAATCCCAGCACTTTGGGAGGCCGAGACAGGCAAATCACACAGTCAGGAGTTTGAGACCAGGCTGACCAAAATGGTGAGACCCCGTCTCTGCTAAAAATACAAAAATTAGCCGGACATGGTGGTGCGCACCTGTAATCCCAGCTACTCAGGAGGCTGAGACAGGAGAATCACTTGAACCCTGGAGGTGGAGGTTGTGGTGAGCCAAGATTGCGCCACTGCACTCCAGCCTGGGTGACAGAACGAGGCTCTGTCTCAAAAATAAATGAATAAATAAATAAATAAATAAAAAGGAGACACCAATGTTATTAAGATTTTGAGATGCACCATGCACACATCAGGTTCAGGGCTGCTTGGTCTTTATTACAGTCAGAATTTGCATCTAGGCAAATTTCCACATGATGAAATGAAGAGATGCAATACACTCAGGCCTTTAATGAAATTGACATCATTATTACAAATAGTGCTCATTTGAGGTAACTGTGATATTATTGCAATGGGAAACATCTGTCCCCTTTCCTCTCCGGTCCCCTTGGTGGCCTAGGTTCATATTACAGCCACCGTTAGGACTAAATACACAAAGGCCTTACTCTGTAACTGCCCCTTTGACTTCAACACAGTTCTCAAAAAGAAGTGCAATAATTTTTTTTCTTTCTTAATAAGATGGAGTTAAATTGCCAAAATAAAAATCCAATGTCCAATTTTGGTTTTAAAACTAGAAAAGGAAAGAATGTTACGATCAATGATGACTTTGGGAAGAATTCTTTAAAACACAGTGAGGGTGAATTCTTTTGGAAACAACTGTATTCTACATTTATACATATTTATACATAAACGGCGTCCTCATTGGGGGAGGTGGGTGCTGATGCCACTGCTTCCTTTGAAGGCTTTTCTCCCCCACTGCCAATGCCCAAGGGGAACGAGTCTTCAATGGCGGCTCAATCTAGCTCTTCGGTTTAGACTTGGATCTCATTCCAATTTAGGCTTTTCTTTCTCTTCCTCCATACCTAGAAATACAGGCAAAGTGTTTTATTTGGGCATCAGTTTAAACTACGAGCAGTTTGTTTAATCTGGTTTGCTAACACTGCCCACAAATCCACTCATCCGCCCTCACTTCTCCCATCCACCCTCCCGACACCGCCGTTTTCCCTCCTAGCTAAGAAGAAAAGCCATGTACAACTTTCTCCAGAAGCATCCTCAGTGACCTCTCTTCCCACCCTTTCCCTAGAATCAGGACACAGCATCTCTGGGACACACCCAGCTCCTGTGGCCTCTGGGAGACAAGGCTGCAAGTTGATTCATGACTCCCAGAGTTTGCATGGAAACCCCAGCTAGAATGCTGTTTAAACCAGCTTCTGGCAACATGAGATGTGCAACTCATGAGTTTCAAACAGACTTCGTTTAGTTTTACTTTAGTCCTGTCCCTTCCCAAGGCAAGGACTCTGGATTCTCAAAAGCCAATTTTTTTTAAAGCTTATAGAGAGTTTGTTAGCCCCAAGAACTGTTTATTTCCATACTCCTGAAACTTAAATTCTCTCTCTATTCAACCCAATCCTGGTAGAATCATGTTTTTCTTCCTGAAGAACTTGTATGTACTGCACCAGTAAGACCCTTTGCCTATTGTCTGCAGAGTATAGTCAATGACGTTTCATGGGCCTGAAGATGAAAATGTTTGTCATTTTTATGAATTATAGTTAAATCTTGCAAGTGCTTCTTTCTTCTTTTTCTTGTACCTAAACATTTTTTGAATCATACTAAACTCTCAGTTTCTTTGTTTCAATAGCAAAAGTGGCAAAAGAATTTAAAATACCATTTTGCAGGTTTGGTTAGTATTCTTTGATAAATTGCAAGCTTTCTGAGGGTAGGGCCCTTCTCTGTTCTGTTCCTGATCATATCCCCAGCACCTAACAGGGTGTGTGTGTCTCATTGCAGGAGCTCAATTAGTCTTTGTTGAATAAATTAATGAACACACAGGCAATGAACACACAGAAGTCCTCAGAAGCCTGGACTAGTGGAAAGCAGAACAAAATATGGGCCTCCACAATATGAACATTATAAAGTTTAACCCCAGAGGGTCATAATGTTAGGACTCACAACAGAAGGGACTCCCCCACCACACAACCCCCAGCTCCCAGCGTGTTTTGTGCCGTCAGAGTGGCGGTGGTGAAATGTGGGTAGCGTGAGATGGTCTTTCATGTTTGGCTTTCATGGCTAAAGAACCGGCAGAGATCTGGAGCACTTTTCCCTAAGTCCTTCTCAGAAATCATATGAAGGAAAACAAATTGAAGAGGGAGTATGTCTGAGGGGAGGAGGAACAGGGTTGAAGGGGAGAAGGTACAACAGGCCTTCGTTGTTGGGTAACCAAGGAAAGAAGAAAACAGCACAAATTCCGCTCAAACAGCACAGACGTCTGGAAGCCCTGCTTCTGTCCGTGTTCCCTCCCCTGCGGAGAAGCTCTCAGGGGCTAACTGCAGTTTGCTTTTCTTTTTAAGGTCTATTTTTTTCCAAAGCGTTATCCTGCAGATGGGTTGACTTGGCAGCAACGCTGGAATCTTCCAAAGCGCGGGTGGAGAAAGGGGTTATTCATTGACCTAAAGAGGGAAAATGGCTTCCCACCTACTTTGGTTTGGCAGCTGTGAGGGACAGAGAAAAATTACACAGCTGTAAATAATGTTTGCAAGAACCAGGGATAACGTTTCCACACAAAGGGAGGGAAGAAACCTATCACAAAGCTGAGCTAGAATACACTTTGGGGGCCAGACGGGACCAGACTGCAGGGCAATGAGGGAGTCAGTCACATGGCCTTCCTGCGGAGGGGGCGGGGAGGACAGGCTCCACCAGGGGGCAGTGCTGGGGCACCCCTAGGCCTGGGCGGGCCTGGGCGGGCCTGGGCGGGAATGGCCTTCATGGGCAGCTGGAGGAGAAGAGGTACAGGTTTCTGCTCACACAGACCTCTCCTTTCTCCCTGCTTGCCTACTTTCTCTGTCCTCACCCCAACCTTTTGCTTTTGAAAAGACTCATTTCCGGTCTTACAAAATGTAGCTTTAGTAAGACTGATCAGCTATACTAAATTTGGGATAAAGTCTTAGCTTAAGTACAGAAATTAGTTCAGCTGGGACTGGTGTCCCCCGCTCCCCAAAATCCTACGTGAATGTGCTTAAGCCTCAGTGCCTCACACTGGAAGATAATGCCAAGGGTGTGGCTGGACAGCCATGTGCTAACAAAATTAGGTATGTGACTCACGGATCCAAGCAACCTCGGCAGCAGAAGCCAGAAAAAGAGGGGTGGCTACCTGTAAAAGATCCGTGGTCTGCCCTCTTGTCTGACTGCTTGGACCCCCATGACTTGCATAGGAGGCCGATAAGGTTTTTGAGAATTTTATACCAGCAGAAACATTGACAGCCTGGACTGAAACGGACAGACACAGAATGAAATGAAGGACCAATGGCTTCACAGATGGTCCAGGGACGGGCTCTTCCTTGGTTGTAGAGGGTGGAACTGTAGAGCCCAGGGCTGAGGGGGTGGGGTTTCTGCGCCTGGAAGGCAGGGCTATGCATCCCCTCCCGGGTGAGCCAGCCCTGAGGACTGAACATCTAGCCGGAGGATTATTTTCAAGCCTTAAAATTGAATGGAATTTCCCCCTCCTGCTTCAGGCTTGCTTGGAAACCATGATTCTTTTTTTTTGCCCCCCTGCAACTTCTCCCTTATAGAATGGGAATGTACATTCTATGCCTGTCCCATCATTCTGTTTTGGAAGCAGAAAACTTTTTGTCTGGTTTCCCAGGTTCACACACAGCTAGAGAACAATCTGGCTTCAGGATAACTCACACCCTGAGTCTCACGCATACCCAATTTTTATGATATTTAAGATGAGATTTTGGACTTGAGAGTTGATGTTTGAAAGACGTTTGGGGTTGTTGGGATGGAATATTTTCACTGAGTGAAGGACATGTATTCCGGTGGGGTGAGAGTGAAGTGTTATCAACCGAACTATGTCCCCCCTCCCAAATTCATACGTTGAAATCCTAACCCCCAGGATCTCAGAATGTGACTTTATTGGAGATAGGGTGTTTACGAATGAGATCAACAGGGTGGGCCCGAATTAAATACAACTGGTATCCTTATACAAAGCGGACATTTGGAGACTGGACTGAACATCAGTTAGAAGGCACCGGCTCTGCCATTACCACACCTAACATTTATTAAGATTTTTCAGGCCGATGGTGAAAAAAAAAGGGTCGGTTTAGATGATTTCTAGTCTTTCTTTCACTGTAAGATTCTGTAATAGTGTGACTTTTTATCTTGAAGTTGTAGCTAACATAAGTCACCCAAGTAGAGGGAGTTGAGCTATTAAAAACCATTATGGAAAAAGGAGGGTGGCTGCAATGCAATCTTCCTTCTTCTTTCGGGACTGTAGAGTAACTGACATGAAATACTCAGTGTTGTAGTGCTGTATTCCCATGTCCTCAGTTCATCCTAACACACTGCTTTTAGTGAGTAGTTGTCAACTCAGCAACTAATAGAACCAGGCAGCTAATGTGACTATGACTGAGTAAAGTGGCCAGGTGAGAACGAGGGAAAATTAGTCATTTAAAGGGGAAAACTGATCCTCAATTCTTTTTTCTTTCTTTCTTTTTTTTTTTTTTGAGACAGAGTTTCACTCTGTGGCTCAGGATGGAGTGCAGTGGCATGATCTCAGCTCACTGCAACCTCTGCCTCCAGGTTGAAGCGATTCTCATGCCTTAGCCTCCCAAGTAGTTGAGATTACAGGCACATACCACCACGCCAGGCTCATTTTTGTATTTTTAGTAGAGATGGATTTGCACCATGTTGGCTAGCCTGGTCTTGAACTCCTGGCCTCAAGTGATCCACCCACCTCAGCCTCCCAAAGTGATATGATTACAGGTGTGAGCCACCATGCCCAGCCACAGGATAACAGATATGCTATCTTAAACCACTGTCACCAGAAGAGAACAGTGGGCTCCATGTTCCCAGATCTTTTTTTTTTTTTTAGTTGGAGTTTCACTCTTGTTACCCAAGCTGGAGTGCAATGGCGTGATCTCGGCTCACCACAACCTCCACCTCTTGGGTTCAAGCAATTCTCCTGCCTCAGCCTCCCAAGTAGCTGGGACTAGGCGTCTGCCACCATGCCCAGCTAATTTTTGTATTTTCAGTGAGACAAGGTTTCACCATGTTGACCAGGATGGTCTCGATCTCTTGTCCTTGTGATCCACCCGCCTTGGCCTCCAAAAGTGCTGGGATTATAGGTGTAAGCCACTGCACCCAGTCACCATATCTTAAAATATATCCTAAGAAGCTGAAAATCTGGCCCTTACCTAATATCTCCCCAATTTTAAAATACTGATTCAAAAACAAAAATTCCACTATGTAGGCCTAACAGAGCTTGGTCGGTACAAGTTGGGGCAGGCCATCAGTTTGTGACCCCTCTTAGAAATGAGGAGGATACTTACTTGGCCCAAAATATCTGTCTCTGTGGAACTAACTAGATGGTCCTACGTACATAAAGTTAATAATGTAGAGTGGATATTTCTCTCTTCTGGTTTTCAGGTCATCTTATAGAAGTAGTAGAACTATGGCCAAATGACTGTCAAATCAATGAAGTCAAGTGTAGCAGGTACTTAAGTACTTCCTGAATAGCATATATTGGACACATTCATTTAAGTTTAAATACAACCTTTCTCCGAAGAAGCTGGGAAAAGTTTATATTTTGTATTCAAAATATTTTTGTCAGTTAGCTAAATACTTCAGTAAATTAATGGAGAAAGATCACTATTTCCATTGAACAGGTGGGACATTATTAAAAGATTAGTTTCTGGTCCCTTAAGCTGTGGCCTGAACAGAATAAAAAAAGTTGATACTTTTTCTAATAGAACATTTATTAAAATCAGAAGTTGCTGAGAAAAACCCTCAAATTCCTCTGGGCCATTTAACATTGGCTAATACCCTGATGCGTATAAGCTCAGAAGATCCACACACAGAAAAGCCTGATTCAGTAACCACGCACAGTAATCATGCACTCAATGTGCTTTATTTGTCTGATTCGATTGAGCTCCTGGCAGGGTGTCTGGCACAAAGCAGGGTGCTCAAAGTCTGTGTCACAGAGTCCATTTACTGGTGATGTCTAGAATGCTGTGATTGTGTCAGAGGAGAGAGCCAGGGCTCTCTAAAATCTCCAAACCATCTTGCCTTTGGATGTACTTTCACGCATAACTCAATCACTACATGTCTGTGCTGCTGCTTTTACCACCTTTCAATTTTTACGTTATCTTACATATACTTTGGACAGGTTTTGCACAGCTTGGATAACATTACATGCCTTGCCAAGATGAAGGCCCTGCCATACATGGAAACAAAAGGGAAATCAAATCACAGGTTAAAAGAGTTTTTGCAGCCATGAAATATTATCTTTTACTGCTTGTACCTCTTTGCCATTTTCAGATCTTCCATATGACAGCCACTGGTGAGTCAAGGTGGCCGGCGCATCACACATTGCTTAGAGCTCTAGCAGAATGGCAGTAAGACCTCTCCCAGGTGACTGCACCCACAGAGAAAGTGGAGATCTGGGTGACTTTAAAGGAGACTGGTGACATTTGATAATGTATCTATTTAATTTGGGGTCCCTTTAGCTAACTAAGGCAGTATTATGTTGTGATGATGACAAATTTCCCTAATATATATATTTTTGTTAACACTATATTTTTTCCTATAAAATTTTATAGACATGCCTCTTTCCTCTTTAGATTTGGATGTTTTACTAGCAAATAAGTCTAAGTGACTAGTAAACCTTTCGGGTAACTGTCAGCAGCTCTTAAATTCATACTGTAGTTATAAAAATGGAACTCTTCATAGGAGATCCTGTGCGAAGGCTGAAAGAAAAGGCTCCAGTGGAATTTTCCCTCAGTTTCTGCATATACTCTTGTTGGCAGTAATTCTCTTGTTTTATGTCCCCTCAGGCAATACTTACTTCTATGTGTATCCCAGATATAGTTGTTCAGAACTTCTCCCAGCAGGTACAGGAAGTTCATTAAGATGGTTGTAGACCCAAAGAAGATGATTCTGGCTCCTGGGCCAATGTGTTCCAGGAAAGGGTACACCCACATGCCAGTTACATGATGCACCCAGCACACCCTGCAAAGGAATTGGAAAGGAAACAAGGACAGGAGTCACTCTTATGGCAGGCATCAAGGCTGCTATGATGGGAAGATAAACTCCCTCACTCTCACCATGCTTCAGCATTTGCCAGTCTCGAGTTTGCTTCTGATACTCAGGAGCTACCAGAAACTTGGTTGTTGTTTATTTTCTTTTACTTTTTTTTCTGAAATAATTTTAGACTCACGGAAAGATGCATAACACACTCAGCTTCACCTCACGTTAACATCTGGTATAAGCTGGAACAATTAACTAAAATTAAAAAATTAACGTTGACATGACAGTATGAAATGATAGGCTTTATTCAGAATTTCCCAGTGTTCCTGTGAACGTCCTTTCTCTGTTCTAAGATCCAGTCCAGGACCCCACATGGTCTTCAGTTATCACATCTCTCCAGTCTCATATTCTGGGAGTTCCTCCGTCTTTCCTTGTCTTTGATGACATTTGAAAGGTCTGGTCAGGTTATTTGAAATGGTTGACTTTATTAACACTGTTAAACAATCTTTTAAATCTCTTCTTTACAAAATGAGACAACATGGCATTGGGCAACCACCTGAGAATAAGACCTGGGAGAGTATGTGTTAGATACCCTGCTATATGGCCTTCCAAGTAGACACCAATAATCATGCCATATGCTGGCATAACCATCCACAGCCTGGCAGGTACCAGCTTCCCACACCTCTGATCTTCAGATATAACACTGATTTCATTTTTTCCCTATTTTACATACTTCCTTAATCATTGTCTTTGTGTTCCAGAAGTATTTTTGACTCTGGAAATAGTAACATCATGAATCGCCACTGCTTTCAAAATTTAATTAGAATATCGGCTCCATTGGCTTAGTCCTGACACGACTGCTTACAGCTGTTTTCCAAAACATTCTTGAGTTCATTCCTTTATAAAATGTTGGCAATTATGAAGACTAAAATACAGAAAACTCTATTGCATTGGGAATAACTATGACTTTTCATACTTATGTGTTTTGAGGTCATTTTTCTTATCCATGGCTTCACTCTAAGTAGTTTATCTACATACTGACATTACCCGCAGGGCGCTGTGGCTCACAACTGTAATCTCAGCACTTTGGGAGGCCAAGGAGGGTGGGTCACCTGAGGTCAGGAGTACAAGACCAGCCTGGACAACATGGTGAAACCCTGCCTCTACTAAAAATACAAAAATTAGCTGGGTGTGGTGGTGCGTGCCTGTAATCCCAGCTACTTGGGAGGCTGAGGCACAAGAATCGCTTGAACCCGGGAGGTAGAGGTTGCAGTGAGCAAGATAGCACCACTGCACTCCAGCCTGGGTGACAGAGTGAGACTTGGTCTCAAAACTAATAATAATAATAATAATAATAATAATAATAATAGTAAAGCATTACTTACACATGTACCTCATTTGGGGCAGGAAAATCCATACCTGAGAACCTGCATTATCAATGAGGGTGATAACCCCCCTCCTTTTGCAGGTAAAAATTCATTCTGGGGTTGGTGATAGAAAAAGTTTACATTTTTTATGTAGAAAGCACAGATACACACACACACACACACATATACTTACACAGAGATGTACATGTATGTATATAGAAACACATCAACTGATGAACAAATAATCAAAATGTGGCATATGCATGCAATGGAATATTACTCAGCCGTAAAGAGGAGTGAAATGTCTGCTACAATATGGATGGACCTGGAAAACATTATGCTAAGCAAGATAAGCCAGACCCAGGACACATATTGTATGATTCCACTTATATGAGGTATCTAGAATAGGCAAATGTATCAGTTACCAACGGCTTGGGGGAGTGGGGAATAGAGAGTTACTGTTTAATGTGAACAGAGTTTATGTGGGAGATGATGAGAAAATTTAGGGCATAGATACTAGTGATGGCTATGCAATGTTATAAAAACATTTAAAGTCATTAAATAGTATACTTTATACTTGCAAATGTTTAAAATGATAAACATTATGTTATATATATTTTAGCATAATAAAACATTTTCCTGTGGTGGAAATCAGTGAAAAAAACATGTTTACAAAGGTTCCTTGGTAGAGGAGGCAGTAATGAAAGAAAGATTGAGGAACAATCTTACAGCAAAGAGGTATTCACTAGGTCCGTCCAGGGTCCTGAATCACTCTCCAAATGAAAAGCTTGTTATCCAAAAAGGAGGCCGTGTTAGTCAAAAGATTTTGTTAGAAAAGCTGAAGCAGTTGTGAGGATCAGCAAAAATTAAATGGTTAGAACTACCCTGTGGGATTCTGAGATATCATATTGTTTGTCCATGAATTAGAAGCAGTTTCATCATTCTGACATTGCCTTAAATAATGTAAGAAAGGCGCTGTGTACCCATCAAGTGGTTTATTAATTTCCATGGAGAGAATATGCAATATTCCTCCAAATTAATACCATTAAGCTGTAATTGATGTTGCAGATCAACTTATAAAATTTTCATCAGTCTATGCTACAGGGTGTTTGCACTGGAGCAGCCGGATGGATCTGGATTAAATGTGAGTCAGGCCATGCCACTGTTCTGCTCAAAACTCTTGCTTCCTCTCCTACTCAGAGAAAAAGCCAGAGTCCCTGGTGAGTTCTTCAAGGCCCCACCTCAGCTTACCCCACACTTTTTGATTTAATCTCCTGTTATTCTCCTCGTCATTCCCCACCACTCCAGCCCATCAACTCCTTGGCGTTCCTCGAACACACTAAGCTCTCTTTGTCTCTGGGCTTTTGTGTTTTTCACTTGACTGGAACATGATTCCTCACGACCCTCACAGCACCCCCTGGCTCCCCTGTGTCCCTTGGGTTTTCACTCAAATGTCACCTTTCCAGTGATGTCTTCCCTGTCCACTGCATTGAAAAATGGCAACATCTGTTTATTGAGCCATTACGATATGGCAGACAGTTTGCCAATAACTTACACATTTTTTTAATCTCAAAAAATCCCTAAAATCTTTATGATTTTTGTCACGATAGTTAATTTAAGGCAGGAGTAGGCAAACCTTTTCTGTAAAGAACCAGATAGTAAATATTCCCATATGGTCTCAATCACAACTACTCAACTCTGCCATTGTAGTGCAGAAGTAGACATAGACAATATGTAAACAAGTGAGTGTGGATGTGTTCCAATAAAACTTTATTTATAGACACTGAAATTTGAATTTGATGCAATTTTCACATCATGAAATATTCATCTTTTGATTTTTTTCAACTACTTAAAAATGTAAAAACCATTCTTAGCTTTTGAGTCATAAAACAAACAAACAAACAAAAATCCAGGTGGTGGGCTGGATTTGGCACATGGGCTGTCATCTGCTGACTACTCATTTAAGTAGTTCTTTGTATTTCACAAAGCTCCTTTGGCACACTATGTCATCTAGCCTTCTCAGCAATTCTAGATATAGCATGGCATTCTCGTTGTACTATTGTATGAATCAGAGCCTATAGGGTATAAATGAGGATATGTCAGAACTGCCAATGCAATGTGAAATTCTCAGGTTTGCAACCTACAAGGCAGAGAAGCAGACAGCTATTCTGAGTGTGGTGCTTATAAACATGATAGTAACCTCCTTTACGTTATACATCCACCCTATTAGGTATGATTATTCCCTTTAAGCAGGCAAAGAAACTGAGATCACACTAAAGAACTTATCATTAAACTGGCAAATCCAGGAAAGAAATGCACATCTGATTTCTTTTTTGCTACATGGACTTTCTTGCCTAAATGAGGCATTCAGTATTGTCTCCAAAATGGAAGTGTGCGTTTGTTTGTTTGGTTTTTTTTTTTTTTTTTCTTAACTTGGTAGGTCATCAAACCATCTCATAAAGAAATCCTGTTTTTGGGGTTTCATCTGGATCAGTGTGAATGATGCATCCACTTGTCTTAACAAGTTGTGCTTTCACCATTTGTTTCATTGATTTTTATCAGGGCTCAATTCTCCGCATAAAGATGACTCATGGCCTTGCCCATCTATCTGGAGAGTTCCTAGTTCTTGGCTGACTTTTAATTTCTCTCATTCTAAGGTCTTCTTGTCTTAGTGCCCAAATAACATATGCTTATGGTCATAGTACCAAATTTAATTTTAGCCTAAGAAATCAATAATCATAATATGTATGCATACATATATATGCACATATTAGTATAATAAGATTTTTAGATTGTCTGTTTTATTAAATGTACCTCCAATTTCATTCACTTTAATGTACAATTTAAAAAATAACATTTATTCATGCCTCCTATCTGCTTTGCTACCCACAAATGCTACAAAAGTAAATGGGTTATGTGAATGAATTAAATTACACATGTACCTTGAAACTGTATAAATCTATTATGCATCAATGAAGAAAAGTAAATGAGGCAGAGCTAATTCCTGTCCTCCTGGAGTATAGTGCAATGAGAAAGACAGATAATTAAGAAGTAATTAAAAGTATAGTCAGAATTAAAAAATGGTAAGTGTAGGGGTGCTATGGGTACACAGGGATCAGTCCCCACACCTTTTTCTAAATGCCACACTTGCCTTTAGTCTTTCTGTTGTGTATTTAACTTTCTTTCAAACCAGTGTTTTTCATAGTTGATGAATGTGTTCAAATGCCTTTCATTAAAGCACAACCAAAAGTTTCCACGTATTTCCAAGTACTACTCATGTCTCTCCTCTTCAAAGGCAAACTTCTCCGATAAGTGGTGCACATTCACTGACTCCGTATCTATACTTTGCACTCACTCTTTCACCTACAGCAGTCTGGCGTCTCTTCTTGTTACTCAACGAAAAGACACTGGTTTCTCTGACGTCAGTTTCTCCTGGTTTTCCTCCTACCGCTTGGCTGTTCCTCTTCCCTTAGTCAATGCACCCTTCACTACCCTACCACTAATTGTTGGATTTGCTTAAGTCTTGGTTTCTAAACTGATTTCTCTTATGTATTCTCAGTTGATGAGTTCATTCATGGCTATGGCATCAGTTCACTACTTATACACAGCCATTTC